AAAAAGACCAAAACCGAAAAATAATCAAAAAATACATTTATTTTAGAATTGTTTATATAACAAGTAAAAGGAGAAGAACTATGAACTAGTTTCATTATATGAATAATTCGTACTTTGATCTTTGACTAATTTCTCCTTTCGAGTTTTCAACTCACAAAACTTTAATCTCTATAGTTGTAGTAACATTGAACCACAAAATGCGTTTTGAAGTTTTCTGACAGCATTTCCATTCGGTTCTCGCGAAGAAAAGCCTTGAATGTACTAAACGTGCGCTCGACGTGAGTTGATACAAGCGGCGCCCAATTTAAATATGGAACGTTGAAACTTTCATATTATCAGGAATAAGAGCTTTATCCTCGCTATAATCACTTTTTTAAATGTAGAAAAGCCAAAAAAGGCAACATCAAATGTGTATACAAACATATATGGAATCAGGGAAAGCTAAATCGTGGACATTCTTAATCGAATATACTCTATCTCTTTAGCAGCAAAAAGGGAAATTTCCATAAAAAACGTTCCCTGGTCATAACAAACAGTGTCACATGCAATAGGTCGCTTGTTGCTTAGGTGAAACCAAGCCTTTTGTGTACCACCCTAATACATATACATATGTATGTATGTATATATTGATATGGCTCACTCCACGGTAATCGATACCCAATGAAATGAAAATAAACTTAAGAATTTGAGTGTATTATTTCTACAAACTAAGAGAAAATAAATGCAATTTTCAAGACTGAAAGCCAAAATTTCGAAAATTACCTTAAAATTAGATATATTTTTTATATAATGCTGGATTTTAAATTCAAAAATAGTTATTAAGTTCATTTCCACATGGCATTTTTTTTAAATGGCATACATTTTTTGTAATTTTAATGCCTAGTGGAAATTCGGCATTAGGTGGTACCATTTGCAAACTCATTGATATTTTAATTGTCTTTAAAATTGGCAAAACTGATTTTCGTTGGCTATTATCGTTTTTACGTTATTTAAACCATCGTACAGTTTACTAAGTAAAAACACTATCAGGTGATTGCCAAAAACTGTCTAGAGCTGAGATCAGCTCTTTTTTGGAATTCGCCGTTATCTTTTACAGTTTCTTCCATTTCTATTACAATGTCTTCCATCTCTATGGGCCTCCGCACACTGGAGTGCGCAGTCCGCCTTAAACCGGTTTTGTGTGGATAAGTGGGGGAAGAGAGTTCAGCTCTTTCGTCTGATGCCGATTGTGATACTTATCTAAATTACCTAATTCCCTTAATTCAAGCTCAGTTTGACTTTTTAAACAGATGGCGACCCTCCTACATGTAGTTTAGAAATGAAGCATTTCAAAACTCTTTGGATTGATATCCATATTGTAATAACTCATTCAAGTTATCAAATAATTAAATAGTTGGCAACCCTCATCAACAAATTTTCAAAGTGAAACTTTCTTAAACCTATTTTTTCTTAGGCCTTTGTGTACACATTTTCAGACTACAACCCACCTCACCTGACACCCATATTGTGATACGTATTCCAGTTACCTAATTCCCATGTTGAATTAAATTTTTTTAACAGATGGCAACCCTCCCACATGTTGCTTAGAAATAAATCGTTTTCAACACCATTTCGATTGATACCCATATTGAAGTAATTAATTTAACTTCATTGAATTAATTTTTTAATAGGTATTTACCGGATTGTAAACTAACATAATTTAAACCTTCTCCAAATACATGTCTTGTGTCAAAATTTCGCCAAAATCGGTCCAGAGGTTTTTGAGTAAATATATTACACTACTGCAACTTTACTTTATATAAATATGAACGTATAATATTTACTAACTTCTCATTAAAATCTATAAAGCTACAAATAATGTTGTATGGGCGGTCGAGGTGGGCGTAGCCCGATGGTCCAAAATTTGGTAATCTTCTTATAAATACCATGGCGATTGAGTTAGCCAAATTTCAACTTCGAAGCTGCATTAGCTAATCATAAAGAGATGTTGCTCGAGCGATGGGAAAACTTATCTATACCGCTACAGATACAAAGAAATAGTATCTCATACGGTTTAACTTTTGTTCTCCAACATCTTCTTAACTGCAAAAAATTATAATGACTTTTATAGGTATGACTTAAAAAATAAAAGTCGGTGACTGATTTATATTGATAGCTCTTAAAAGTAAAAGTCTTTGACTGATTTTTATTGATGACTTTTATAAATAACAGTCTTCAATGATTATTATCTAAGAAATATAATATTAAAATCAAAAATAATTATTTTGGATTTATAAAATAAAAATTACAAATAAATATTTGATTCTCGGTGATTCTCGCACTCAGAGTCGTTTAACGATTACTTAAGGTGTCCCTCAGTAAAGATTTGAAAAAATTCCCTCTCGGGAGTCAATTAATGATTTATTAACAGCATTTAATGAGCATTAAATATAAGTAAACAAAAACCTTTACTTAACTTTTTAACGAATGATAGTGAATTTTTTTGTTTGTTTCCAATAAATTTCAATTTCGATAACGTTGCTGTAGCACGGAACACGGAGAGTAGTGAGCGGAGCACTTTTGTGCCATTCGAGAGATCCGAGTTCGATCCTCGGCAACAGATTTTTTTTTCTATTTTATTAAATTTTTTCTTTTCGTTTTTAATTTTTATTGCTTAAAAAATAAATATTTTTTATTTAATGTAATGTTTGGAAACTTTGATTTATTTTTTTCTTATTTTACTTAGTTTTCTCAAAATTTTAGTTTTTGTTGTTTAAAATTTTTTTTTTTTATTATCGTTTAGTTTTTAGAAAACCTATTGCTAAACGACAAATAGAATAACGCTATCCTCCTCTTTAGCAGATCTTTTAATTAGTCATTCGAAATACAGAAAAGATCTTTCAAGATAGTTGCCGGAATATAAAGACTTTTGTCTTTCAAAAGACTGTAGTGAGTTGAAACACAGATGCCAGAATTGGCCAGTTAGTGGTTTTGTTTGTCTTTTAGTAGTTTCTAAATGAAAAAAAGCAATAAAACGTAAAAATGAAAAGAAAAAGTTGAATAAAAAAGAAAAACAAAACCGTTGCCGAGGATCGTTCTCGGATCTCTCGAATGGCAAGCAGTGTTCGGCTCACTTAGCGCAAAATGATATAAATACTTATTTTTATATTTTATTTCAAACTGAATGAAAAAAGTGAGTGATGCCACAAAACTAGAGGGCCGCAACTGCGGCCATACTTAAATTTTGTATTTCATAATTTTTAACTCTGAGAGGAAACATTAATTAAAAGATTTAACGATCCTTCCTTCATAGTGAATTTTTCAATGACAGTTTTCATCATTAACTGTGGTTCTTTCCAGGTAATAAAGTGCAATTTTAAAGTTACTAAAAATCGCGTTGAATATTGATATTTTATAGTACATACTTATGGTGACCATATTTATGGGAGCCGAATACGGGACTAAAATAATTTTGCGAATTTTTTCCACAAAGCTAAAAGATCTTAAAACCATTTTAAACGATCCTAGATGTATTAGCCTTGAAACAGCACTCTTTTAGTAGCATCACACATTTTTAGGATACGGTTCTCGAGATTTTTACCCAACATTTTTTACAAAAAATTCTTTAAATTTTAGTATAATAAAGTACAAGCTTGAAGTAGCTAGGACTAATCGTTAATTTTTGGAAATGAGCAGCACGTTGCACTTTATTGTACTCATTTTAATGAGCTACAAAACTTCAAGCAAATTTTTTTTCTAAAGTTTCTGATTAAAAAGTGCGAAATTTTGGTGAATCTTTGCAGAATTATTTTTCATAGTTTTTGCACAATGTCGGATATTTGGATTTATTTGGTTTTTTTAGGAAAGGAGCTTTACTTTCATAAAAAATAATAATAAACAAAAGAAAATATGCAAACCTTGCTAAAATGTAGAGTCCTAATTTATATTTTGGTCACTGTATATGTTCCTCGCTTCGAATCACAGGCATCCAGATTGAAAACTAAACTGTTAATGGAGAAAATTGTGATCATATACAAAACAACTTAAAACTCGTTCATAGGCATGCCATTTTAATGAGCTGTTAAGGCGTAGAATTTACGAACATCGAATACGGGACAAATACAGGACATTGAAAGAAATACAGAACATTTAGCGTCCCGTATAAAATAAATTAATTACCAGGACAATTGGTCAAAAAAGACGACTGTCCCGTATAATACAGGACGGATGGTCACCGTATACATACTACATACATACATACATAGGGAACATTACCCATTATGAAACTTGGTCTGTTCGAATAGATTTCCAGTGGAAAAAATCCAGCAGCAACTTACAGGGGAGTAATGAACGAATATCTCCCAAATTAGACAAAAGACAGAAATGCAAAATTAGCCAGCTAAAATTATCAAGCAACAAAATTCAAAGATTAAGGTATCTTACTCTCCCAAAGAGAGAAACTTACAAAGTTTAGCGCGGACGAGACTTTGCAGAGATTTGCAAGCTTCACTGCCAGCTGGCGTGCACTGTTGCATTTCGAACATAATACATTTTATTGGAAGTGTAGTGTACATTTTTAAATTTAAAGAGTTTATTGATTCAAATTATTGTTGACAAAAATGCAACCGTGTGCCACAATCCTGCTTGCTGGGAAGATTTTTTCCTTTCCAAATGTCAACATTGTGGTCTGTCCTTGCGAGTTTTTTGTCCAAACGAACGCGATTTGGTAACAACTTGTACAAGCTTGTTTTCATAGGGAGCAGAACTAACCCTACTGGACAAATCTGACGGAAACTAATACACACATCCCAGTGAACCAATGCAGATGCAAGGTCACACCTACAGGAAAGTATCCATCAGAGTTTTCAAAATCGTCGTAGTAGAAATCTGATGTATAATCTGAGGGGCTAATACTCCAAGTCTGATACTCAGATGATTCATCAGTCAGTTGTCCCATGGGGAATGTTAATACTAGCATTGGAGTTTACCCTACCGAAACCATAATTTTTTTACAGAAATAAATATCCACTTCTTATAGGGAAAGCGCAAAGGAATACTATGAAAAATCGCATCACATTGAAGGTCTAATGGACGCTCTATATCATCTGGAGAGATTCGACGAGCTGGAGCAGTGCATTGACAAGTTGCCCGAGAAAAGTCCTTTACTTGCTAAGATTGCTGAAATGTTGGCTTCTGTTGGTAAGCAAAATAACACACATAAGACAGCTTCATCCAATTTATGGATATATACGTACATATTTTGCCTCTACTCTCTTAGGAATGTGCTCAGAAGCGGTAAAAGCCTACTTAAAAATGGGCGATCCAAAAGCGGCAGTAAATGCATGCGTCAACTTGCGACAATGGGGTGAGGCGCTACAGCTCGCGCGTAAATTCGATATGCCACAAATTGGTAATTTATTGAGCAAGCATGCAGCTCAACTGATTAAGGAGGATCGCCTGCCGGAAGCAATAGAGTTGCAAAAGAAAGCCGGCCGTTATTTGGATGCAGCACGCCTGTTGGGTAAATTGGCGCAACGCGAAGCGGAGAAGGACGCCAGCATGTTGCGCATTAAAAAACTGTACATACTGGCTGCCTTGCTTGCCGAGGAACATTTAAAGACGTTGAGCACAGCCGAGTTGAGTTACAAAGTGGATCGGAACTCTTTGTTGGACACAATGACTCCCGAGGATGCACACGTGGTTGAGCATATGTGGCACGCTGCCGAAGCCTATCATTTTATGTATGTAACGGTAATGCCAAGTAGCAGAACATCCCTTGGTGCTATAATTTTTACTACAATTCTTCCATTTTACTTAGGATGTTGGCACAACGACAACTGCGTTTCGGAATTGTGCACAGTGCTGTGGTAACTGCACTACGCTTGCGTGATTATGATGATATCCTGCCCGTAGAAGACGTCTATAATACGCTAGCGTTGGCCAGTTGCGCCGATCGCTCTTTCGGTGTGTTAATACATTTTTTTTTTAATTATACTCGTATGATATGCTTTTAAACAAACTAACGAATTCCATTAGGCACTTGCGCCAAGGCTTTCACAAAACTTGAATCCTTGGAAGGCATAACGGAACGTAGAATTCAGGAATACAAAGAGCTTGGCGCAAGCATTTTTGCAAAATATGCCTCTGAGGATGCCAAAGTTGAAATGGTTAAGTGTTATGCTTGTAATGCGCCTGTGCCTGACAGGTGCGATCTTGCAATTTATTGACAATATCACATTTAAACATTTCATTTATTAATACTACAAAATACGCTTTATAGTTTGCCTGCGTGTACAATTTGTGGCGCTCGCTTTCCGGCTTGCGTTTCTTCAGGGAAGCCTATTACACAGCCGACCAGTAATATTTGGATTTGTGGCATATGCCATCATTGCGCTACACCTGTCGAGATAACACGACACCACACATGCCCACTTTGCCACAGCTTGATAATATCAATGACGTTGGAGATTTAAATGAATTAATAGATACGTACATATGTATACCCTGCAAACCAAAGTTCCCGAAATCTTAAGGAAATCTTTAAGAGTATCTCATTTCTGTAACGATTTTTTTACGAATTTTCAAAGAAAATTATATGAAGTGGTTGACACGAACTCGTAAAGAAATTTCTGTACGAAAAATAAGGAAAATTCTTGAAAAATTTTGAAAGATATTCTTCACATAGCGGCATTAATTTCGTTGCTTCACAGATTTTCTTCCGAAATTTCGTAAAAGAATGGAAGTGTGCGTAATTTATTTAATGTTAGAAAATTCGGCAAAAAATCTAATTAAATCTTAACGAATTCTTGAAAATTTCTTTACAATGCAGAATACTCTGAAAAAATGGTTTGCAGGGTATTTATAAAAAAAAAACACATACGTGTACACACATACAGTGACTCAAATAAGTGACTACGTGTTGATTTTTATTTTTTTTAGTATTCACAATACTTTCTAAGTTAATTTGTTTTGTTACTTTTCTATAAAAATATCGTTCAAGCTTTAAGGCATGGTACAATAATTACAGGTATTGTCTTCCCCGAAAGTTTCGCTTCACATCGAAGCTCGTGCTCCCTTATTTTCTTTTTGACGCAGTTCAATGTTGATTCTTTTACTTTTATTTGACTTTGCTGTTTGTTTTAGCTCTCTGGGAAGACAATACCTGTAACTAATGTACCATGGCTTTAAGGGCTGTCTGCAGCTCTCCAGAAAAACGAAAACTTCATATAAAATGACACATAAGAAATGGAAAAGAAGTTTTTTTCTATCAAAATTTCTTTCTTTAATAAAATTTACTGCAACAGAAAATTTGAAGAAATAATTTACTTGTGATTTTTCTTGAGAACTGCGAACAGCCCATATAAATCAAAGTTTAAAAAATTATACAAAAAACTTTAGAAGAATTGAATAAACTTGCATTAAAATTTCCAACTTTTTAAACAGGATCTTTAAAACATATCGCACACCGTCTCCAAAAGAGTCACAACTCAAAATAATACGTTTGTCAGAAAATGCGGAAAACTATTTCTTAGCACATGATAATCAAATGGGCAAGGGCGACTTTACCTTAGGTTTTTTTTTTTTAAATTACAACAAACCTTTGCTCCAGCTTTTGCTGAAAGTTAAATAAAAGATCTGTGTACATTTTTAGCGCATAATATCAAAAATGCCAAATTTTGAGTTGTGACACTTTTGAAGACGGTGTGCGATATCTGGGTTTGCAGTTTTATTTTATAGCCGATCAAATTTTAGTCTAATGAAAATAACAAAAAAAAAATAGAAAGTTGAAAAACATTGTGAATATTAAACAAAAAAACAACACGTCGTCACTTGTTTGAGTCACTGTATATATACATATGAATGTACTAAAGGCGGATTCATCGCCCTAGGTCTGAACTAAAGTTGAAGTTTATCAACCAATGGGAAAATAAGGAATTCATTACAATTTTCTACCACGAAAAAATTAACGACGACGATTGAACGAAAACATGCATCACAATATAAGCGAGCTGGTAATATGTAGTTTTGAAGACACAAACAAAACAGAAAAGGATCAGTCCAGCACCTTCGTCTTAACCGGCAGGCTGTTTCGGAGCCGTAAACTTAAACGTGATATTATTAAGATCACATTCAAGTTAAAAGCGGTGCATGAAATATTCGTTTTGATTGTGTTGAATTGAATTTAACAAATCAATATGAATTGCAAAATATTAATACTTAGCAATAGAGAAGCAGATCCAGATTAACTTCATCATATGTACCATCAGCTTATAAATAGACATATGCCATGACGTGTATCACCACTACGATTCATTTTTATTTCCTTTCATACTGCAGAAATTTGTATTACTTTTTATATTAGCCTAGGTCTCCGTATTAGTATTCTTCTTCGTGTTCGTGTTCGTCTTCGCATTATCTTCGTCTTCGGATTTGTGCATAAGTTAGCTAAGACTTCTGAAACAGTTGGAAACCCTCCTAAATATAAGTTGCGTTCCCTAACTCGCAAGAACTTACAAGAATTTACAGGAATTTACCAGAAAGCGTTCCCGTACTCGGTTCTCTGGCTTTTTTTGCTTTTTGACAGTTTTACAAGTTTTAACCCAGAAAATTTGGTGAACGCAACTATAGTTAAGAAATAAACAAATCTCTTACGTGTGATATTAGATGTGTTTGTTTACAAATTATCCAGTAACTTGCCAGCAACTCTCCAGTAACTGTATTTTTAAAAATTCGCTCTCATAGAAAAAATTTACAAAAAAGTACGCGAACGCTATTCCAGTAATTATTTGCAAGTTTCATGAACAGCTGATAAATTGGTTGATTATTCGCAGCATATTTCTAATAAAACAATATATTTCATATTTAAATATGTTTATTTTGTGAATTTCTACAATAAAAACCCCCCAAACAGTTTCCTTATTAGTTTAAATTTCATCCAGCAACATGCGATCAGCTGTCTTACAAGTAAAAATTTATCCAGTAAAAACTTGCAACTTCAACTGTCATTTTTCGCTCTCTCAATTTCCCCTACTTTGCAAGTTTTTGAAAACGAAAACGCCAAAACATGAAAATTCGTAAAAACTTTTACTGGATTTTACTGGAAATGAGTAAACAAACGCAACTATTGTGATACCTGTCTACATATTTCATGTGGTTGATGAATTAAGTTAAATTTGATTTTTTAAGTAATTGACAAGCTACATTTTTTTTTCTTTTCACAACAAATTCGTAAGAAAGAAGCTACAATTAATGCCGTTGTAAAATTTGCGTTATCTCAATCGACATTGGGGCATGGTGTCAAGTTAGCAGCACACACTAAATTTTATTCGTAAAAAAGGTCAACTCGAAAGCTACAAATTTTTTCTTTTCACAACAAAGTTTTCAGTCAAAAGCTACAATTAATGGCATAGTAATATATTGGCTATCTTAATTCTATCGATTCTTGTATGGTGTCAAGTTAGCACTACATACAATATTTTTTTTTTTAAATGAGAGCTTCAAATTGTTCCTTTCCACAACAAATTTACAACAAAAAAGCTAGAATGTACCATGCATTTTGCAACAATATAGAAGTATTATATATATATATGATGCGTTTAGATGCACATAAGGACAAAGTGACTAATTACGACGACAAAAATAGAAAAACAGAAGTCTTTAAATCTTATCATACATACCTTTCTAATACTCCTTATAAACCAATCTACAATGTAACACAAAAATTTTGATATTTAACGCAACGCAGCAGCTTTAGCAGAAGCGCCAAGTTGGGTTTTTGTCGTGCGTCGAGTTAAATAATTTTTTGTTTGAAGCGATGATAAAATAGTTCCGCTTGTCATTTTATTCTTAAAAACAACTAATAGTTTTGTCAACATGGAAAGTGAGGCGTGAGGTATGTACTTTATTTTGCGATTTTTGTTAATAATATAGTTGCTTGTAAAATGAGTATAATACCTTTTTTATAAATTGCCTTTTTTTATTGAAAAAATTTTGAAATTTTTATATTGGTTAGAGTTATAAAAAAAGTTCCAACGAGTACAGCAATTTCTCTTCAACTGTTCGAAAATCCAACAAATTGCCAATGTAAAAATATCACGCCGTCGTCCCCCCTTCATTAAATAGAGCATATTTTTCTTAAGTCGTTTATTGGAACGAATCGAGAATATAGGAGGACAAAAATGTTTACTCCATATTAGAGGTATACGCCGCCGAGCCACGCCGCCGCCGCCGCCGTTTTTTGTCATTCCTCACGCGCCGCCGCCGAGTTACGAAAATATCGGCGCGGCGGCGGCGGCGGCGGCGTTCGGCGCCTAAGGAATTTTGTACAAAATTTTCATGATGTATGTACATTGAATACATCGTTTGAAGGAACTAAATATTACTTGTATAAAAACACAATTTTACGAAATGAAAATTACATTTTTAAATTAGTTTTTTTTGCATAATTTGGGCCACTGGACAAGAGTATGATCTCCTTTATTTTTTCCAAAAATAGCATAATTTAGAAAAAACATAGGTAACATATTTTTTGACGACAGCGTTTATTACAGTTAAATTAGGGTCGAATTCTGGTAATCTAACGATTTTTTCCCGCAGTAGACAATTCTTTTCTATACTACAAAAATACTACTTTTTTATACACCTACTACAACAACAAGAAACTTATAACACATCAAAAACTTTAGCTCCAATATCTCAGAAAGCAGTTTTAATAGAAGCGGCCTCTTTGCATCTAACTCCTCAATTCTTCTTCTTCTTCTTCTTTTTTGGCGCTGTAACCGCCTAAGCGATTTTGGCCGAGTTCAGCAAAGCACGCCAGTCGTTTCTCCTCTGTGCCAACTGACGCCAATTGGAAACGCCAAGTGAAGCCAAGTCCTTCTCCACCTGATCTTTCCATCGCAGTGGGGGCCTCCCTCTTCCTCTGCTACCACCAGCGGGTTCCGAGTTGAATACTTTCAGAGCTGGAGCGTCGGTGTCCATTCGAACGACATGGCCAAGCCAGCGGAGCCACTGTATTTTAATTCGCTGCACTATGTCTATGTCGTTGTAAAGCTCATACAGCTCATCGCTCCTCAATTATTGAAGATAAATCAAAGACAAGTTGATTTTTCTATGTATTTTTTTTAATATTTTAAACAAACACTTTTTTGCTAATATTTACATTCGTAAGTTATTTTATTCTGGGGTCCCACATACGTATACAAGTACTAGGTGGCATTCCTTAGTGGTGGTCAAACCCCAGGAAGGTTTTGCTCCCTCGCATCGCTATGTTTTCTACACAGGGTTAAAGTTCCCTCTTTATTCTGGTTCGAGTTGATAAGACTATTGCAAAAATTTATTGAGAGCGACATAAATTACCCCAATAACTAAACTTTAAACAATTTTTTTTTCTTTAAATTTAAATAGTACATACAGATCTGTAGAGAATATAGAGATCCGTGTGTGTATGTATGTATATACCTCAGACCTTCTTCTGTTCGCCCATCAATCAGCGCCAGACACTCAACATTTTAATTCAAGTAGGAAGTAACAATATTTAAATTTAAAACTAATTCAATGATGAAATAAATAGAATTATAATAATAGAATAATTGGCATGGCGAATGCCTAACGCTGACGAGTTGAAATGATAAGATTAGTAGAATCTACCTTATGAGAAGTAGCGCCGGCGTTTCCAGACGCGCCGGCGTCGCCGCCGCCGCCGAATATTTTTGACGTTGACCACGCCGCCGCCGCAAAGCCTGTCGGCGTAAACCTCTACTCCATATGTATTTGACAGATTTCAATGAAATTTGGTATCTTTCGTTGTCAAGGATTTCGAAATAGATATCAAATTTTCAAAATTCAATGGCGTATACAATATGGCGGAAGATGTCTTTAAAAATGTATAGATTGTTATGAAGCTTGGTATCCAGAGATTTTCGTCGCCACTGGTTTCGAAATTTACATTAAATTTTCAAAAATCGAAATGGCGGATTCAATATGGTGGATCACTTTTCTTTAAATTATAGTTTGTTATGAAACTTGGTATTCAGAGATCCTCGTTATCTTTGATTACGAAACTGAAATTAAATTTTCAAAATTCAAAACGCCTTGTTCGGGACGCTATATTTGATCCGCCATATTGAATTTTTGAAAATGAGTAAATATCAAGCTTCATAAAAATTTATACATTTTTGAAGAAATCGTCCACCATATTGGATCCGCCATTTTGATTTTTGAAAATTGAATATTAATTTCTCAATAGATTGTTTGACGTATACCCGTCCTTATTGTAAAACCCTTTATATAACATATGAATGTGATATAAGGTTTGTTCGTCGAAAATCCAGCAAGAATTATCCAACACTCAAAATATCAGAGAGTAAGAAAAAATTCTCTCAAATTCTCTCTCATGTTGAGAAACTTGCAAATTTCTGCACGAACGCAAATTTGCAGGAATTTGCAAAGTTTCGCTGCCAGCTGGCGTCCACGGTTGCATTTCAAACATAAAAAATTTTTATAGAATTTTTAAAATTCTTTCGGATGTCCAAAAACAGGATATACATGTATATTTCTTGTAGTTCTGACTTTCTTTGACATACATTTCAATTTCTTCATCGTACTAGCTGTCGGGTTTCTTAAATCGACTCTGGTTGCAATTGCATTCCGATTGCGAATACCATTTTTTTCAGCCGAATTAAGTTCAAATCATTGGAATTAACTAAATTAATTATATCAACAATTATTTACTTCCTTTTTTCATAAAAAAATCGCTCGTGTTTATAAATTTTTAAATTTAACGAACTAATTTATTCAAATTATTGTAGACAAAAGTGCAACCATGCGCCACAACCACATGTTTTTCGTGTTTGCAAATTCTTGCTGGCAAAATTTTTTCCAGCAAGAATTTGCAACTTCTCTCCAAGAGAACTGTCACTTTGCTCTCACAATTTTTGAGTGTTGGATAATTTTTTGGTCTGCACGAACGCGATTTGGGCAAAAATCGTGATAATTCGTACAAATTCGTACAAATTTTTTGCTCGACGAACAAACCTATAGAAACGAAAAGAAATGCAAATTTTCTCCGTACTCATCTACGGTCGCGAAAATATAAATAGGGAACAGACAGCATTCTTAAGCATAAAAAAGTTAATTATTTAGTTAGTCTGTTCCTTTGAACTTCGGACTAAAACCTGTGGAACTGTCAAACTACAATTTTACTCTCTCAAGTGAGAGTAAAAGGAGAACAGATGCCGAAGTGCACGGGAACGCAAAAAGCACTATTTCCTGTAAAAACGTCAGACGGTTTGTTTACATGTACAGTGACGAGCAAAACTGTAACGTGATGTAACACTTTTTATTTCAGCCACCGCTATCTTTCAAAGTTCTAACGACTTTCATACTTTTGTTGTATATTCTTATTGGTACACCCCTACTCCCGCTCTCATAACGATTTGAAGTCAATCCAACAACAATAAAAAAACCTGGAGACAAAAATGTAAGTTAAGGCAAATGTTACAGTTTTGCACTCACTCTCAGTTTTGCATTTTACAGTTATCTTTTGCTTAGTTGGAAATCAGATGACTTTTTTCTATATTGTAATTTATTCAAGAAGTGATCACCAATAAATAATATGGTTAATCAGGAAACATAAATGTAAATAATAGATTTACTGCGGAAAGGCGGGACCGCAGGGAAAGTGGCAAAAAATTGCGAAGTTTGCCACATGAAAATGTTCAGACTGAGAAAAAATATAGCCTAAAGTGTTACTAAGGACAAAGGAAGTCTGTCAAAATATATTACAGTCCGATATCTTGTGAACTTAGTAGCAAGTAGCGCTGCAGCCACTACTACAGAAGCGCTTAAGGTATTAAAATTGAATGCAAATCAGTAGACAGTGAGGCGAAAAATGGCCAAATTGAGCGCAATGGATCATAAAAGAAGAAAAAAGCAAATTTGATCAAAATACATGTGCGAGTGTGGCAGTGTTTTGCTGCATCGCACGAAAACCGGACCGTTGCCTATTGGGATATGTTAGGCCTTACAGAATGCAATAAAAAACACATTTTTAAGATTTAATTGAGGGTTATTTGGACTAACAAGACTTAATTAATCGCTTTCAATCAGATGGCCGGGCATGGTATTGGATCAAAGACCCAAATTAAGCCTAAGCGCATCATATACGGCAAACTGTGAGTCACAGTGGTAGGATCTTAATTGTTTGGGGTTGTATTTCAAAAATATTGTTGGTCCGTTAGTACGCATTATGCGTAAGCAACAGTATCTGTTCATATTTCAACAAAATTTCCAAGATGTCGAAAAAATTAGAGTTTCTGCTGAAAAATCAACCAAAACGCACTGCACATATTCGCAAAGACTGGAACAAAAGAAAAAATTTGCCAATTTGAAATGACCTCCACAATCCGAGGACATGAATCTCATCGAGAATTTGCGATATCAGCTAAAAGCGCAGCTTACTAAATATCCAAGTCCGTCCAATGGAGTACATGAGCTGTGAAAGCAAACCAAGGATATATGGGAAGCCTCCAGAACTTTTACAGAGATACACATTAGGTATGCCAAATTGCAACCAGGAACTAAAAAAAGCAAAAGCATACTGAACATTGTGTTAATAATTCTTTATTTTTCGTGAAAATTGTCAAAAAGTTGTTAAAAATATATGAGTGCAAAACTGTAACATTTGCCTTAATTTACATTTTTGTCTGCTGGTTTTGTTAATGTTTAGTCTGTTCCAATAGCAGTCCGGTTTACAGGATTTAGTCAGAACTTACAGGAAGTCGTTCCTATTGACATAAAACCTGTAAGTGGGAACATATTTGAGAGAGTAACTGAGCAACTGTTCGTAGTCAGAAGTTACAGGATTTAGTCCGGAGTTTCTTTTCCTGTAAGTTCATGAAAAGTGTCAAACGATCAGCTGATTTGCATGTGCAAGCAAAAACTAACAGCGGTGAAAGCAAAGTACCTTATATTTGTAAAAAAAAATGGAAGTAAACAACGAAATGTTTGAATATGTATAGATTTTAATAATTATTTAGTGATATTTCAGCTAAATCAGTGTTGTACAAATGACATGTAATCAAACCGACTGACGTTTTTACAGGAAATAGTGCTTTTTGCGTTCCCGTGCACTTCTGTATCTGTTCTCCTTTTACTCTCACTCTCAAGTGCACGGGAACGCAAAAAGCACTATTTCCTGTAAAAACGTCAGACGGTTTGTTGACATGTGATTGGTACTACACTTATTTGGCTGAAATATCACCAAATAATTATTAAAATCTATACATATTCAAATATTTCGTTGTTTACTTCCATTTTTTAACAAATATAAGGTTATTTGCTTTCACCGCTTTCGGTTTTTGTTTGCACATGTAAATCAGCTGATCTTTGACACTTTTCATGAACTTACAGGAAAAAAACTCCGGACTAAATCCTGTAACTTCTGACTAGGAACAGTTGCTCAGTTACTCTCTCAAATGTGTTCCCACTTACAGGTTTTATGTCAATAGGAACGACTTCCTGTAAGTTCTGAATAAATCCTGTAAACCGGACTGCTATTGGAACAGACTATATATCTTGTTACGTGCAGCAGCTTTCAATTACTTCGATGCAGCTATATATTCCGCTTAATCGCCGCCATTCTCATGGATGAAGGCTTCTAAAAGAAATGTTATACCGTGCAGATTGTAGGAGGAAACACGAGTTGTTGGCGGCGGCGTGTGGGTGGTGGTGCAGTTGTGTCTGTTGTGTGGTCTGTCGTGGTTGTGGTGTTTGTGTTAAGCTGCTCAGGTGGACTGGGGTTTGCCGTGAAGGCTGCTCTGTTTGAGCATGGGTCCGTAGTCCTGAGCAGACTCTGAGGTGATTCCACCCGACGCAAGCATTGCACTTGACTGAGGTGGAGTTGTGGTGTAGGTTTCTGGCCCTGGGTTTGACTCGCTGCCAGCTCCTGAGCAGAGAATGCGTAGCAAATGTAGCCCTATGGACGAACAACTACTGAGATACTTCGTCGATGTAAACGGGTTTAGATCGCCGAAACAACAGCCCTTGGTCGGGTAACCCCCTCCCCCCCAGGTCATTCCGGTACGTAGAACCGGCTGTCGTGGGAATGATTTATAGCAATTTCATAATTATCGCTCGAAAAAAAACACCCCAGCTATTAAGTAGCTGTTAGACGTGGCAAGTGCAAGTCCTTTTCAAAAGTCTGTCAAACTCAAGAATTTCCAAAAGAGATTGCAGGAGCAGTTAAACCTTGCATGTAAAGTGACTTTCGAAAGCACTTTTAATTTCTGAAAATCAAACTTTCCGATGCTACTTTTTGTCTGTTTACACGGTGAATGCAGCCAAGCCCTCTTTCCACTATGTTACCAGACATTTTTATGCTTATAACAAAATTAATGACCTGAAAATTTTGGTAAACCTGCTAAAATGTGCACAAAACAGTCACAAAATATATATTACTTTAATAAAAATAAATATTCCATAAGTATGTAGAATAAATGAATTACACATATTTTTCATATTTTATTCGACATTTTTATAATTTTATACAAATTCGCCAAAAAACGCGTCGCACGGCAACACTTGATTGGTTTGACAGCACTTGCGGCAAAAACTAAAATTGCTGGTGCAGCACAGGCAAGTAGAAATTATTTCTCGGAAGGGATTTGCATAATTTCAGTTGCAGTTACAACTTGCAGTTTTTATATCCGAAAGTGATTTCTGCAAATCTACAAAAAGAATTTTCCAGCTGTTTACACGGGAAAGTAGACTTTCGATTTCGCATTTTGACAGTAAAATGCGTTGAAAAAGCGCTTGCATTGCCACGTTTAACCGCACCTTTAGTCCTCTGGTCAATATAAAGTTGATTTGTGAAGCGATCGTAACAGTTTTTATTAAACTAAAGTCATGATTTTCTTACCTTAAAATAAAATACCGACCACTTCAGAACTGCTTTCTATGAAATAAGCAATGCTTCAGCAATTTTATATTTCGCTTAACTTTCTAATGTTTGCTGTAAGATTATCTTTTCGCCAATTTTCATATTCGACAGAATGATGTCTCTTTAGATGTGAATAATAATTTCCGGTTACATTGAAAGTAGACGTACAAAACCGGCATTGGTAGTTTTTTTCACCAGTATGCTGGGCCATGTGTTCCTGAAAAAATAATATATTGTATGTCATATATCGTGGCGAAAAGCAGTTACTAATCGATTATATATTAATAAATATCACTAAAAGACCAACACAACTCAAAAACGTGGTATTACAGAAGCACAATATTTCAACATTGCATATTTCAAAATGTGATTAATTTAAGTACTTATTTAATATTATTATACATTCTTTTATTGGAATATTGCAGTCCGAAGTACCAACAGCCCAAGACATTGTACAACTTCTAATTTGTTATATATTTCTTCATTCATCACACCGTTGTCTATTTCTTCTATTCAATATACAGTCTTGTCGTGTTTAATTGTATTCTAAAAATATTTTTCTAAAAACTAAGCAAAAATATGCATTTTGTAAGCTTTAAACATTTCGTTTTTAAACTAAAACCTTCAAGTTTATTAACCGACTTCAAAAACAAGGGAAGGTTATCAATTCCTCAGAATATTAATTTTCTTAATAATTTTAATTTTTAGTTTTCGGTGTTTTGCTCATTAAGTTTATGTGTTTTCATTTGGTTTATTTGTCCAGTATACGTATTTAATTTTTTTCAGTTAAGTATATCAGTACATTTTTTCTTTGATGAGCAGTTATTCTTGTCATCCGATACTATGTACCATATAAACGGTGCGTTTTTAAATTTTGATTTTGCAATTACGAGCTTTTTCTCCTCTTATTTAAATCCATTACTTTGTTCGATTTCATTTAGGTTTTAATTCAGTATGTTTCACAAATCTATTTTTGCTACACGACCATCCTAACCGAGGGCAACTGATGCATACTAATTTTACAGGTTGTTACAGGTCTTTTAGTACATGACATATATTTCCTCACCCTTAGATTCAACCCAGTCTTGAAACTTTTATTGCATATTTCACAAGGAAATGTCTTTTTGGGATGAACGCGCCGCATGTGATCGGTAAAGGATGCCCTACTTTTATACTCTCCTCCACATATATCGCATGTAAATTTTTTCTCTATATTTTTGTTGTGAAACCTTCGAATATGTAAACGTAAATTATCCTCGTCCTTTAGCCAGCTATCACAACCTTCAAATGTGCACTTAACCCTCGGGCCACTTTCTTCAAAATGTAAGCGCACATGTTTTTCAAACAAACCTTTGGTTTTTATTTTCTTTGCACAAACATGACAAACAAGAGATGCGCGGCGATGGGTATTTCTAATGTGAACTCGCAACAAGGCATCAGAAGAAAACCGACTAGTTGGACACTGATCACATATAAATGTGCGCTCGTTCATAGGTATATGTAAATTACGATGAATTTCCAGCCTCTTTTTCCGTGCAAACTTTTTAGGACATAGATCACAGTTAAAGATTTTATCTTCCTCTGGTGCATGGAAGTCAATCATGTGCAGCGATAGAGTTCCTTGATCAGTGCAAATTCTTTGGCATTCTTGGCATCTAAAAACGAAATGTATTGTTATAACGACCTGATATACTAATGATATCAAACAAACTTAAAAAACTCAGGATCGTCATGTCTATAGGTGTGATGTACAATTGACAACCAGGAATACCATTTTCTATTACAGCATTTCACATATGGTTTTATATTTGGATGATCTAACCGATAGTGGTTTTTAAGAATTTCGAACTCGTCGCAATAGAAAATACAAACGTCACATCTCATAGGAATGTATTTTTTTACCAGCTCATCATCATTGCACATGGCTTTAATACCACGTTTTTCTCTCAATATAGCAAGTTTTTCCTCGGTTGATGCCAGTTTCTTTCGATTTTTAGCAGATATTTTAGACTTTACGGCAAGTTCGTGTGTATCATCATTCGATAAAGATGCGTCTTTAACAGATTCTGTAGACTTCGGTATTGCAAACTTCTGGAGTTCAGGCTCCAGTGGATCACAATCAGATAAAGATAAATCATTAAATGATTCTGTAGAATTATCCCGTGCAGTGTCCCGAGTTTCATGATTCGAAAAATCTGCAAATATTTCATTCAAACTACGTTTTTCTCTCAACTGCGGAAGCCCTTTTTTTGACGTTGTAATACGCTTTCGATTTTTAACAGGTTCCATGAAATTTGTCGTTAATGGAGGATCCTGTGCATTACATCGATCTGAAGATATTTTATTTCTTTCTTTGCATTCAGTATTCACAATGCGGGTTTTTCTCAATTTAGGCATTTTTTTCTCTATAGTTGCAACTGTTTTACGATTTTTACCAGCCTTTAAAGGCGTTTTTATTAATAGAGCAGTCTCCGGTGCACCACAACCTGAGCAAGAATCATCTGCAAATATTTTATATAAAAGACTATTTCATATCCGTTTTTATTAAATTATGTTGTTGTTGTTGTTGTGGCAGCATACAAATTCCCCAAAGACTTTTTGGGGAGTGTTGCTGGAGTGACAGTCCTTGGCCAGATATAAATCTGGGTCGTTCCGGTTACGTAGACCCGACTGTCGTGGGAACGTTTTAATTAAAGTTTATTAAATTATATTATCACCTGCTGAATTATCTAAATATTCAAGGTCTTCGTTGTTTAATTTGTCGCATGTTTCATTTAAGCCGCCACGGATGTCTATTCCAGGAACTAGTTTTGTAAATAAATTATTCTGCTCCTTTTGTATTGAGGTATTTGGGCAAGGATCTTCGGGAAACTCTTTAGCATTAACGTCGATTTTGATAAACTCCTGATCCATGGATTCATTTCGATTCCCTATTCTGGAGCACGGTGCTTCTGCCAACTTTTTGGCACTGTCGTCGATTTCGATAAAATCAGGGTCCACGAATTCTTTTTCTTCCTCAATCGTGGAGCAAAGGGTAACGGAAAGTTCTTCCCCGACAACGTCATTGTCGACAAACTCATTGCCTACGTATTCAAGGACAAACGCTTTCTCCACATTACTAGCGCTAAGCATAGAATGCGCCTGTTCTATCGTCACATAGAATTGGTGGAAGTTATATACTTTTGCCCAGCACATTGTGCAAATAGCTGGGGACATTCCATCATCAGCTAGGGGCTATAAAAATTCTGTTATGCCCAATTTTAATGAATTATGAAATAAAAATACCTTAAACCAAAAGTGACGCGCGAGTATATCAGCGATTTCCATTTTTATACCATCCGAATCAAAGATATTCAGAAAGCAAAGAGATTCTTTTACACAAAGACGACACAACATAGCACAGATTTGTAAAATGCACGCTCAATAAAAATTATGCATTAAAATGAAACATCGATGCATCGGAAACATCGATGTTTGCTTTTCGATGTATCGAATAAAACCGATGTTTTGGACTTTTGTGTGCAATGTACACTGTGAATTTTTCACTATTTATGCAAAACGTTATTGCACTAATAAATTGCTACTTTATTAGTAGAAACGTTTAAGGCGATGTCAGATAAGACTTTTGCTTCGCGTTGCGTGACAGATTCGCTTTGACAGAAAAGATGAAATGTATGAAAATACACAAAGCATGTCACATAGATCGCTTCAGCCGCAGCGCGAAGCGAAAAGATGGCCAACTCTCATCTTATTGCGCGCGTTGACAATCAGCCGCTATAATATTTATTTTGTTTCGTCCAAATTCGAGTTTTCATGCAAAAACATAAAATTTAATTACATTGCTGATATTTTTAAAGCTAAATAAATGAAATTCACAGCAATTTTGAGGAGTAAAAATCAGAACAAAATTGTTTTCTTGGCGTTCATTGCGGCATACTTTTTGCTTCTGGCGCTTTGCTGGCAAAGTTATAAATGTCACGCAAAGCCACATAGTTTTATCTGGCATCAGCTTTATTGCCAAAATACCACCTATTTAATATATATGATATTGACACTCTAACCCTGGTATTCAGTAAGCGGTCTCTAGTCACTAATAGCCATGAACCAAAAATACAAAATCACGTAAGAACGCGACGTTGTATTTGTAACTGGTTTTGAGAAAAAAGTTTGCGAAAGCGGGTTCGTCAGCTGAGCGTTTGTTTACATCACAAGCACCACTATTTTACACTTTTATTCAAGTAAAGAAGAGTTAATTCAACATGACAACACATTTTAAAGCATTTTGTTGCATCATTTTACCTAAATTGTGCGTTTAAAGTGGCTGACAATAATTTTGGCTAATTTTGGTTTTCGTTGTTTCTTTGCTTTGTTTACTTTTCGCTCGTTTTCCAGTGAAACAAGATGGCGTAGAACCCGCTAAAAAAAATCCTTTTTTCACTCTCTTGTGTCTTTCGTTAATGACTTTTGGTGGTAAACTTGGATTTTGAGACTATTTGGTGTTGTCAGCGATCGGACTTATACCACATTGTGGTAAAGTGTGTTTGCATTGTTCAACTTTGCGTTCAACATTTGCGTTCAACTCAGCGCAGGGTTGCACGAAAAAAAAGTTGAATGGCTAAAAATATCAAAATATGAGAAAATATCAAAATATTCGCCATAAAAAGGTGTTTGCATTGTTCAACTTTGCATTCAACTTTTGGTTGAATGGCCTTTCAACTAATCGCTTTCAACAAAGTTGGTCGGCAGCCAACATTTAGCCATTCAACTTTTTTTTCGTGCAACCCTGCGTTGAGTTGAACGCAATTGTTGAACGCAAAGTTGAATAATGCAAACACTGCTGTAGATCTGCACTTTTTTGAGCATCTACCACACCAACAGCCGTGTTCCAGTCGCTTATTCAGATCCGTATCCAAGGCGTAT